GGTTTTGCGCGTTGCTAGTATAGCTCGTTTTGATGGCTCCAAGCCCAGGATACCGCAGTAGCTACTTAGCTGTTCTTCATCGTCAATGAAGCTAGACATTTCCTTCCATCTTGAATCGTTCCGTATGCTATGTGATGTGAGCAGAGCTCGACACAATCCGTGACTGAACATGCCGAATCCTCCCTGGCTCTCGGGATCGAGGTCAACATGCCTATATCTCACCGGGCGAATATCTTGGACGACCTCAAACCCAACAGACTAACATAAAGGCCAAGGCCCTCGGGCGGACGAGACTGGCCTTTTCCCCCGCTTTAGAGATATCCCCAGATTGTTTGTTTGACAGATAAACGCGGAGAATCCTTGCTCAACATGCAGCTCATCCTTACCGGTGCATACAGGGACTGATCTATTGGACAAATGTGAGCCACACACTCGCAAAAAGATATCCTTCGATATGGCTCGTCCTACGCTCTATGCACTCCGCACGACTCCCACAACCCCGCGGGGACCCCAAGATTTCCCCGGAGTTGAATTCCAGAGATATCACTGGCTGAGATGGCGTCGGCATCTTGAGCTGTCGGTATCTTGGGTTATATAAGGGTGGCTTTTATCACACGGATCTATGTATGCCATCTACTATCCTCATTCTAACAGCCAATTTCGAAGCTCCAAATTATCTCTCTTCACCACCGGCACCATGGGTTTCGTAGCAGCCGAAGGGACGACCGACCCCCCTGAGGTCCGCAACTGGACGATCCATTACATCGCCCTCGTGGCCTCCATGGCAGCCCTCTCCAGTAAGATTGCGAGACCACCAGCGTCACTAATTCAGATCTCAACTTACACACCTTCTTCTCCTTAGTGGGCTATGACACCGCCGTGATCGGCGGCACAATGTCGCTCGACTCCTTCGTCCGCGACTTCGGCATCGACAACATGACCCCCTCGGAGCGCGACAACTCGCATGCCAACATTGCCTCCATGTTCCAAGTCGGCGCCTTCTTCGGCGCCCTGCTCACCTTCCCCGTCGCCGAGAAAGACGGCCGCAAGCGGGCCATTATGACCGCCGCCCTCGTCTTCTGCGTCGGCGGCGCCATGATGTCCGGCGCGAACGGGATGCTGGAGCTTGTGTATGCCGGACGGGCGATCGGCGGCTTGGGCATCGGCATGGCGACGATGACGGTGCCGGTGTACATCGCCGAGACGTCGCCGCCGAGCATCCGCGGGAGGCTGGTGGGCGTGTTTGAGATCTTCTCGCAGGGGGGCGGGATGCTTGGGTTCTGGATTAACTATGCCACTGACCGGACGATCGATGAGCGGGAGAGGGCGCAGTGGATCGTGCCGTTGGCGCTGCAGCTGCTCCCGGCAGTGTTGCTCTTCTTTGGGATTATTTTCTGTCCGGAGTCGCCGCGGTGGCTGGCCCGTGGGGATGACTTCGAGGCGGCGGAGAAGGTTTTAGTGTACATTCGCGGGCTCCCTGCGGACGACCCGTATGTGCAGAATGAGATGAGAGAGATCAGGCAACAGGTTGAGGAGAGGAGCACGATGCGGTTGAGCAAGAAGCAACAGTTTCGAAAGTTATTGGCCCCGGGAACAAGGAATCGGGTTGGAGTTGGTGCTTTCCTGATGTTTCTCCAAAGTTTCACGGGTGTCAACATTATGACATATTTCAGCCCGAGAATCTTTGAGACGTTGGGTATCGTGGGAACCAGGTACTTATCTATTTGTCGAAACGATAGGAAAATGCTAACAACTCTTCTGTAGCAACAAATTGTTCAGCACCGGCATCTACGGTGTTGCTAAGATGCTCGGTATGATACTCTTCGCCGTGTGGGTCGTTGAGAAGGTCGGTCGTCGTGGAGGACTCCTTTGGGGATCCGCCATAGGTAGCCTACCTCTTTGGTACGTGGGCGGCTACGTGATGATTGCAGACCCAGCCACGAATGCCGCCGAAGGAAACATCCAGTTGAGCGGATGGGGTTATTTTGCCATGGTCTGCATCTATCTACACTCCTTCATAATTTGCGCGACGATCCAGGGAATCAACTGGACGTATGCGGCGGAGATATTCCCGCTAGATGTCAGGATGTTTTGCGTTGCGATTTCAACGGCAAGCACTTGGTTGGGTTCGTTCGTAGTGGCGAGAGCCACGCCGTTCATGATCACAGACCTGGGGTACGGAACCTACTTCATGTTTGCCGGGTTCTTGATTGGCATCGGGTTGTGGTCGTTTTTTTGTGTTCCTGAGACGAAAGGTGAGTACCTCTTTCCAAAACCAGTAACAACTTGTCACTAATGCTTCACAGGAGTTTCACTGGAAGAGATGGACGCCCTCTTCTCACGGCCTACTCATATTGCCGTCTGGGCACAACTTCGCGGCAGGCCGATTCTTCCCCAAGACAACATCTCAGTTGCTGGATACATGGATAAGAACGATGTAAAAGTCGATGAAGTGGCATAGTCGAGGCATGTCTCCGGCCGATTTCACCGTTGTCCCTGATCGGTGAATCCGGTGTCCGTTCGGTCCTTGGCTCGGCCCCACTCCCGGCTACAGCTCCGTCGAAGTGTCGAAAGCTATATGTGGTCATGGTGTCTCAAAGATGAAAGGCACGATTGGGGAAGCTCCCAATTGAAATTAAACCCCTTACAAGCGCTTATCTTACGTCCCGAAATGTTGGCAGAGACCGGCGCTGACGTGGAGTCAGACTATGCCGGCGATCCGGCATAGATGGAACATTAGCATAAGCCTTTACAGTAGCCAATAGATCCGCCTTTAACAACTGCCTATTTTCTGACATATGCATACGAGATTCCGGGCGATCTTACCAAAGTGATCATCATACACGTTGATTTAAACTGCTAGGCCCAGCAGACATTTAACCTGCGAACTTTATCTTACCCCTCGGTGCACCTCTCTCCGTCCCTGGCAAACCGTCCAATTTCGCATCAAACAAAGAGTCGCTCTTCTATGTTTTTCGGCAGCTCTATCAACCTGAAATTCAAAAAAAAAATGACGATAAGATCGCGTTTCGTGGAGCCGATTCCCATGTGTTCCCTTCAGACATGGATATTTGGCTCCGCCACCGAAGAGTTACCAGATTCCCAGAAGCCAGTATTCATCGACGCCGATCGTCCAAAGTCCCATGTAGTGTCCAGGTCAGACTTCAGACTACTTTCTAAACGAATAGCACTGGGACTCATCAACGCCGGCCTCGAAACACAAGATCGAGTTTTGGTGTACTCCGGCAACACCATTTTCTATCCGAGCCTCTTCCTCGGTGTGTTGATGGCGGGTGGTGTCTACACTGGAGCGAGCCCTAACTTCACCGCTCGCGAACTCACACATCAGCTACGAGACTCGGGGGCCAAGTTCGTGTTCGCAGCGCCAGAGAACCTCCCCGTCGCTATCGAGGCCGCCGTTTCTGCCGGCATATCACCAAGCAGAGTTTACATATTTGGAGCGGATGATTACAGAGCTGTCCCTCCGTTCGTCGCTTTCGGTGACGCTCACAGCAACGGCCCTCGGCATTGGACTGAGCTGATATCTGATAATGAAGTCGCAGCCGCAGATTGGGTTTGGTTTGAGCCGGAGGATCCTGCATCGACGACTTGTTGTCTGAACTACAGCAGCGGGACAACTGGAGTACCCAAAGGCGTCGAGGTTACGCATCATTCCTATGTCGCCAACTGCGTTCAAGTCATCAGTTTGCTGAACAAAGCCCCGGGGATTGAAGAATTCCGACAAAGAGAGCGGTCGCTCTGTTTTCTGCCCCTTTATCATGCGTTTGCGCAGACATATTTTGGGGCCATCTTTCCGGCTCTGCGTGTTCCGGTCTACATCGTGGCTACATACAACTTCGAGAGAATGCTCCAGCATATCCAGAATTTCCGTATCACCACGCTCATTGCCGTACCTCCCGTCCTGGTCAGCATGGCAAAGAACCCGATAGCCAAAAAGTACGACATGTCCAGTCTCGAGAACATCAGTGGTGGCGCTGCTCCGCTGTCCGGCGACACAATCGAAGAAGTCGGTAAGATGTGCTCGCCTGGTGCATCGGTCAGGCAGGGATGGGGGATGACCGAGATGACCTGCTACATCTCCAGCTGGGATCCAAATGTGAAGAATGAGAGCGCTTCAGTTGGCGAGCTGATGCCGAATCTGTCGGCGCGGCTGATGCAGCTGGATGGGAAAACCATGATCACGAGGCCACACGAGCGTGGCGAGATTTGGCTCACGGGGCCGACTCTTATGAAGGCTTATTGGAAGAACGAGAGAGCAACGGGCGACACGGTGCATGTGGATGCCGTTGGAACCAGGTGGATGAAAACCGGCGATGTCGGGTTTGTCGATCGGTATGAGACGGGCGCACTCTTTTACATCGTTGATCGCATCAAGGAGTTGATCAAAGTAAAGGGAATCCAGGTTGCACCGGCTGAGCTGGAGGCTACCCTGTTGGAGAACGAGAACGTATCGGATGCTGCAGTCGTGGGAGTAACGATTAACGGGCATGAGGTTCCTCGAGCTTACGTTGTGAAATCCGGCGGCTCTCAAATCACTGCGGAGGAAGTTGCTCAATGGATGGAGGGAAAGGTTTCGAAACACAAGCATCTTAAAGGAGGTGTATGCTTTATTGATGCGATCCCAAAGAATCCAGTAAGTGTTGAATTGCTTACATGAAGCCTTCGCTAATATTCAGTTCCCAGTCCGGTAAGATTCTGCGCAGGGCGTTGAGGGATCAGGCCAAAAGGGAAGTAGGCGACAGAAAGTCTTTCGGTACCAAACTTGTCTGAAAAGCACCGCTAGATTGTGGAGTTGCAAGATGAGAGATTCTCTTTAACAGGACGATTGCGGCTTTCTGAGTAGAGCTTTAGGGAGAGGTAACGAGAACCTAGAAACAAAACATGATGGATATTCACATAGATCAAATAGGAGAAACTCAATTTTTTTTCCAAGCCGCCATATTTGTGGCTACTTTCAGAATAAGACATCAGGTTTTCCCCTAGAAGATCGCCACAGCTCCTGGCGGGCTTGCAACGCCGCCAGGGACGTTCAACGGCACACTCACAAACATGAATGACCACCTCTGCTCCTTCTCACATTTCGCAGCCAAGTCTTCGAGATCAAAGCTCTCTCCAATGGGCATGCCCCATCCGCTGAGGAAGACTTCGTGCATGCTAACACCCCATAGCTTCGGGCTAGGCCAGGCCTCGTACGCAACAGTGTCAGAAGCTACAGCTGCGAAAGCGTTGTCCCAGTGCCATTGAATAGACTCTTCAGTCGCTTCAACTCCACAACTTGATCGGACTTGCCGACGTGGTAGGGCGGCTTGCTGGTCCACGGACAGAGCGCGATAAGCCTCGAGCCATCCGGTTCGGACTAGAAGTATATCACCAGGACGGAAGTGGACCTTTTGGGCGCTCGCAACGGCCTTCAGTTCGGAGAGCGGAATGCCGTGAGCTGAGAACGGATCAATTTGGATACCTCGTTTGGTGGCCCAGGAATACCAATCCAGGAGAACGCCGCGGCCAGTGACGGTCTTGTTGGCGATGTCTGCCTTGCCTTAGTTAATTTCAATCGGGAGGTTAAGAACACGGTATTACTTTGGACTCCAATCTTTGAATTCGCTTCAGGACCGGATACATCGTCTTGAGTCACACCATTGTAGTACTGAAGAGTCGACTGGTAAGGGTAATGTCGAGGACCGTCCCAGTGACTTGACCCCTGGGTATTGATGTCTAGCTAGCAGATGCCGTTAGATGGGTTCACGCCAGCCTGTCCTCTCAAAATCGGCTCACCTCGTCATCATTTGCATGTCCTTTGGCGATGATGTTATGGGAACATGGTTTGCGGACTGGGTTCATCGGTTGAATGAATGCATTCAGGGGAAGACTGATGGAGAGGAATGAGCATTCACTAGTGTATGCGAATGGGATAAGTGAGGGACTGCAGCTTACTTCAGGGGCACCGTCTCTCCAGTAACAACGTCAGCAGTCGCAGCCTTGACCAGAGATGAGTTGAGTAAATTGAGAGTTCCCAACTCATCTTCAGCACCCCATAAGCCCCATGCAGTTGCTTTGGGGTCACCCTCGCGAAGGGGTAACTCGCTGAAACTTGGCCGAGTACTTGTCTTAGTCGTCGTAATAGCGCCCCTGTTTCTGTGACAAAGTAACTGATAGTAAGATGATATATTTTTGAATCAATCACGGTATATAACAGACCCGGAGACATTCATCCGAGAGTGGCTGCGCCAGTGCCTGTGTCGGTGCCAGATTCCGGCTGGGGATCCACATCTCCGACCTTCTGTGGAAAGCAATGCCGATGGTGGTTCGGCAAGATCGGTATGCTCTTCGGCACTTGAGCCACAATAAATCTGATGCGGGGTCAGGTCTCTCAATTACATGTGGTTGGCAAACTTCTTACGTAGTTGCTACCATGCCCTCGTCTTAGTAGGCCTGTACTCCGGAGGTGTTCAATTGAACGCGATAAAGATGGTCTCTCCCCGCGATGTACAGCCAGTCCTCTACCCACTGCATATTCACGGCAACATCGCCCTCCGCCACTTTGATGATGCCGAGCTGCTTGCCGCTGGAGTCATAAACGCTCACTCCGCCCGTCACTCCTCCGTATACCCGGCCATCTCGGTCCACTTTGATGCCGTCCGGAAACCCCGAATCGGCATACGCAAAGACATCGCCGCCGCGCAACGGGAGTCCCGTTGAACGAATCTGGTATTCATAGATTGTGCGACCACCAGCCGGATTGTCTGAAGCATTGCCGCGGTTTGTGACGTAGAGCTTGTCCTCCTCAAGATTCAGAGCAACACCAATTGGGTTGGTAAAAGGACCACCACCAGCGCCGGCCACCATCCTTAGGTCGCTAGTCCCCATATTCCACCTCCAGACCCCGTTGGCTAACTCCGGCTTCAAAGTGTCGTTGAAGTTATCATAGCCGTAGTACCCATCGGTGAAGTAAGCAACCCCGTCTCGTGTGATGACGACGTCGTTGGGGCTGTTGAATCGATGACCAAAGAAGTTGTTAAGAACAATCTCTGTTTCCAGGGTTAAAGGGTTCATTCGAACGATGCCGCCGGGGTTCGTGTAGTTGCCCTCTTGTGCCCAGTAGACACTCCCGTTGTGGTAGTAAGCGCCGTTAGGAACTGTGAGCTGTGGCGAGGGATAAACCTTCTCTGTAGTCGGGGGCGTATCATTGAGGTTGACTCGCCAGACCCATGGCATCGCGTCTGCGGAGAATCCCTCCTTTGGTGGGTGTAGCTCGGCGAAGAAGATGCAGTTGCATTCAGGTGAGAAGACAGTTCCGTCGTGCACTATGCGTCGCGAGAACGAAGGTCCAGGAGGAAAGTCGAAGATCGACTCAATTGCAGCGAACTCAGCGCCATCATTGGTTTGTAATATCTTAAAAATTGTTAGCTGAGCTTCTTGCTTATGGAAACAAATTAATGTAAATACCTGATACATGCCCTTGTCTAAGACGATGAATGAAGCATTTGCGAGAGCCGCGCTGGCTTCTGCAGCGGCCTCTGTTGAGTGTCCATCGAGAACTTCGGTGCTCCATCAAGTTGTCGTGACGTTGCGGTTGAAGTTCGCGGCTGGAAACACATTCCTGAGACCAGCTGGTACCTCATATGCGGTGGGCAAGTTTTCGGTGGAAGCTCGAGGGTTCACTAACGGGATCCTTGCAGCCTGTGACCATGGAACGTCTCTGAGGAAAGACCCCACCGTCACTATCAAAGAAATCAAGGCGAAAGAAGACGACATCATTATTACAAACCAGATGAGAAAACGGTTTTTGGCCTGGCGCTGTTCACCTGAATTCATTCCCATCAGGACATCTCGGCTTATATCCCACTACTTTCTATGATTTTTAAGTCTCCATACCCCGCGTTGCTATATTTTGGAATGAGCCGTGATGATCGATGAGGTAGACCATGTAATTGAGTTACTACATCACGTTTTTCCATTGCGTTGGTAGCGACTAAGCCAGACTACCTAGAAGTCGGATTTGGATACCGAAGTGTGGATGGAGGGTTGCAGCGGTTGCTCATGTGATAGAAAAAACTTCCAAAAAGAATTCGACTAGGAAACTTGGCAAATCTGCTGCTCCAAAAATATCAGGCGATCAGAGTCGCAGTCATTGGAAGCCCTCGGTATTCGACAACGACGGCCACAACATACCCGTACTAGAGAACGTCGACAAGCCGGCAACCCCCCAAGGGAAGGCGTCGGGATGAAATCCGGCTCCAGTATCCGTACCACTGTAACCAATATCATCACTCCATACCCCGCCGTCAGCTGCAGGGAAGAGGGAGTTGCTATTGTTTGTTGCAGAAGAGGCGGCAGATACCGAATATGAACCAGGAACTGAACCCAGGGGCCCGCCAGTACCGTTGGCGAATCCGCCTCCATTATTCTCGGTATTCATCGTGCGGAGTTGTCGTTGGCTGGTTTGTTGCACATGATTCCTTGGCATGGGTGTATTGTCATGTCCGCCGTTTCTTGACGGCTGTCCCGTACTCAAGAGTCTTCGAATGGTATCCAGACTTCTTCCGCTTCCAGATGTATGCGAGGCTTCCTTCTGCAAAATCCTGAATGTGGCTGCAAGACGCGCTGCAGCGTCTTCTCGGTCTTGTTGTGTCGTTGCTCTTTTCAACTCTTCCGTCTCAACAGTTGCCGCGGTATATATGCAGTAGCTGACTTGATAGGTCATCAGTCTATGGGGAAATGTTTGGGAGTACAAGGAATGAATGGCGTGAATCTTCTTCGAGTGCTCGATGCAAACTTTCATGCTTCGCTCTTTCAGGTCCTTGTCTGAAGAACTGAGGTAGGGTCGCCTGAGAAGAATATGAAGGGCATGGTAAAGAAGACTGCTATTGTGTCAGTTTCATGCTTTCTCTTACATCGGATCAACGTACTTCAAGGAAACGATATGCGGCGGCGGGCTTTGTCTCAAGCCAGACATATCCTCTATCTTCAGAGCAGCAGGCAGGCTATCATACCATTGGTGGATTCTGCTGTCAATGTCGGCAATCTGCGAGGCAAACTCGTCATTCTTGGTTACACTAGAGAACAATAACATCATGGATGTTGTGATTTCATGTAAATGACAAAAAGCGCAAAACGTTGACGTAGTCCACGAAGGCAACAGAACGTAGTTCTCGGAGACTTCAGTGGCGTGGACCGGCTTCCAGAGGCGTTGATCGTCAACTTTGTCCAATATTTCTTGAGCAGGGTAAGGACGTCTTGTCAACGAGGGAGGACGCCCGAGGGCGAGGCTCAGAGTTTTGTCCCATATGTACGCTGAGTTGTACAGCCGCTTGCGAGTCTCGATCTCGGCTGGCGTCCATCTTTCCAGCCGGGACAACTTGGTGATATCAAGGTGAAGACCAGTATCTTTCATCCTTCGGATGGCCATCCCGGTGTAAAGCCAACCTTCGGAGCTCTTGCCCGAGGCGCACTGTCTGCCCCCAAGTATCAACAGCCCCTGAATAGTAGGTATGGCTGGTTTGGTTGCTGCCATCTCTTGGAGCAGTAACTCTCGAGCACGAGCGATGAAGCGCTCTCCTTTGCTGACGCCGGAGTTGTCAGAAGATTCTTCAGGTAAGTGCCTCGCTGCCAACCCAAAGATGCATAGTAACAGAAAGTCAGAGCAGTATGGGCCTCCCAGTGCCAGATCCATCATTAGAATAGGCCTATAGACGCAGCTGTGCAGGGGGTGTAACCATGACCAGTATATGTCTAGCAGGGCCATGCCAGTGGCTGCATCTACTCCTGTCCCATTCATGCCTGGCTTAGCAGCAATAAGAGGCAGCCAGACAGAGTCCATTAGAGCGTATTGGGACTGCAAGGTTTCGATGTGGCCCCGTATCGGGTCGCTCGCCTCGTTGAGGTTGTCTTCCTCCAGAGCACCGGCGTGGAAACGACTTGTAGGGCCGTTATAGATGACTGCTCCATCCTCTCCAATGCCAACTTGGAACCACAAAGAGCCCTCACCGTCGGGCTCTGTCGCAGCTGTGGCCCGACTGCCGTCGTTTGATGGTCCATTTGTAGAATCCGACGTTGCGTTTGTCTGGGGTGTATACGTCTCATGCCTCTGGTTCGTATTCGAAGGCCTAGGTGATTCGTTTTCAGCCTCTCTCATTGAAGCTTCTAGGCTTCTAATCCGGGCATTGGCTTCACGGAGTCGGGATTCCGCCGAGGTGGGTGCCGGCCAGACACACTCCTCGCCTGACCGGCGACATCCAGTGCAGATGGGCCGGTGTCCACTGCATTTGACTTTGCGGGATTTGCAGCTGGAGCAGGCAAATCCGTATCGGCGTGACTTCCGGGTTGCCGAAGACGTCGGTCCTGAGGTTGAAGGTCTCGGTATCTCCGCCGGACTCGCCGCAGGGTCTGAGTTCGAGGTTGGGGTCGGCATTCGGAAAATGACTGCAGGCAGACTTCCGAGCGTCCGCGATGAGAATCGTCAAGATCACGAAGAGTTTTGATTCATGTTGAAAGAAACATTGGATAGCGAGAAATGGTGTTAGCCTTCGGAATCTTGAATGGGTCGACGTTGATTTAGCGTGCCCGCCTCGGCATCTGTGGGATTTTCGGGGTCAACATCCTAGATGCCGGTTCCCCCGCGAACTCCGGCCCCACAGCAAACCCCCGTCTTCGGGACTCCGATAGGTAATTGGAGCTCAGATGGTGTTGTCAATCAGTGAGCATATTATTTCAAAAGTTTCTCACAACGTTAGGTTCGCGAAAAGATCGGTGTAATCCTTATGAAAGAACCCAATCTTCATCATGACAGTGCACCATTTTCATGCGACTTCCACGACACCACCTGCCAAACACGCATACCA